GCACCAGTGAAGGAGACAAAGCAAAGAAAGCAGGTGCACCAGAAGTGCAGTCAGGGCCCACCTTTAGTCATGCAATCTTTTCAGTTTTAAGTGTTGAACTGCCACTCTGCACAGCCCTCCACCTTTTCAACTCTTCTGTGCTTCTTCAGCCACTCCAGAAAGGAGAGATACAGTATTGACCTGCATCCTGCTTTTTTGTGACTCCTTTTCAGAGCACTAATTGCTGAAGCTTCTGCGATTTCCTGATAATTCTTGAAAAAGATATCCTGAGATGGTGGCTGAATGGGACAGAGTGAGGGGGGCTGTATGTGGAATGGCTGGAAAAAGGTGGAGGGCTTTGAGAAGTGTCAGTTCACCATTTAACACTGAAAAGATTACATTGATTAAGGGAATGATATTTTGTCCCCCACTTCTGGTTTACTTAGTTTTACAAAACAAAGAGGACTCAAAGAGGCTTTTCTTCCATTCCAAAAAAGGTCACCTGCTCCTGATTTAGGCCCTGCCTTATGGGTATATTCTTAGCCCTAAAATCAGGACCACTGGTGCCTAATTACCTCTGTACATGAGTTATCTGCATGCAAACAAGATAACCACACTGCTATTGCACAAGTGTAATCTGTTCATTTGGGAAGCTAGTGATGACTTAAACCCTAGCAAATTTTGGAAAAAAGCACTTGGACTAGTTAGCATGCTTATATGAATAAGGGTTTTTGTTGGTTGCTTGCTTTTTTCAAAAAGGGTTTATACATGTAAACCAGAATAATAATGCCAGAGAAATACAAGAGGATCTCTGGTTAGGCTTCTGGACCTTTCATTGATGTGCCAAAGATTTTTTTTAGGAGGTATCGCCTCTTTGTTCCTACCACGATATAACATGATTATTGACACCATCTTTTTCTGCACTTTACTGTCTTTGCTTTGGCTTAGCCTGTACGATGAACTTTAAAAATGGGCAAGTACATCATGGAGCTTCTCCTAGTGCCATCTTTTTCTTACAAAGCTTGTTTTTCTCTCAAGTGCTTGCCAGCCTCTTCCATTTCAGAATAGTGTATTGTCCATGATGCCCTGAATACTATGATCCCAAACTCAACATTTGCCCATTGAAAGCTAGGCACCAAATGCTTGATATTCTGCACAAACGATGGCTCTAAAATATAGTCCAAGACAAATAATGACAAAGTCTGAAAGCAGGTCATTTTTAGGCTCACAATGAAAATATGGCCATGATATGTCCCTCTGATCCAAAGCGAAGCGAAGGAAAGCAAACTTCCCATGGAATCAAAAATATGGTGGTGAGAGTCCCATTTCCCTGCCATATACTTGAGCCAGCTTGGACTGAGAGGAGCTTGCAGTGGTACCCAGGAATCATACCATCAAACCAGAAGCAGTGGAATGGAGTGCTGCTTCTGTTTTATAAATTTAAGAATTATTGGGTTAGGAAACCAGAGGTTTTTCATTGAGAATTAGTAATGAGCACAACAGAAACTGGCTTTATTACTATAAGAGAAGACTGGCACTCTTGGGAGCCCGGTGTTCCACCTCTGGCACTGTCTAGTTCTTGAGGTCTGAAAGGGCAATTCAAGGACTGCAAACTGGACAAGCTAATTTATTGGATAAATAAATGTCTGTGGAAAACTCCATGCGATGGACTCTGCTTATATCCAAGGGCAGCGGTTTTTCCCGCCCTTTAATTGCAGCTTTTAAAATTTTGATCTTACGCACTGGCTGTGGCAGGGACTGAGTTACAGGCTGCGCAGAATTTCATAAATCCATGACATGTGAAGTCGCCCGGAGTTGCAACATAGGTTGACAGACTAACCCACGTCTTTCTTTTTTAGCCTGCAGCTAGAAAGGTAACAACTTGCACACCATGAACCACCTGTTGTGGTGATAAAAATGATTACAGGGTCACGCATTCGCAAATTATAATATAAATTTGGAAACAGCCCATAAATCCAACTTATGCAGCTCCTGCCAGTGTCACTAAATGCTACCCTTAACTCTGACAGCACTTTTCCCATTGTAAGACGGTCCTTTAGAAGAAAGGCTGAGGCGGAGGCGATGAGAAGCAAACAAAAGGCAAATTATATTTGACTCAGTCTAATTGACAGAAGCCAAATAATGGTACACTGTGAGGTACTATAAAGTAGTTTATTGCTCTCATCCCAGACTTGTAACAATAAACTTTTACAGCACTCACACACCTTGGTTTAATTGGAGGTGGGTCTGGTTTGGAAAATGTGGCAGTCTGGATGGGTTCTGTTTGCTAGATAGAAGCGATTTGGTTCATTATCACAACCTGGGATGTGAAAAAACTAGGGACACCAGAGACTAAAGGCAGGACTTGGGGTAGGTTAGCGGAGTGTGACGAGGGGTAGATTAAGACCAAAAGATCATTGGTGTAGCAATGTGGGGACCTGAAGAGCTTCTCACAATGGCATCAGACCATTGTTATTATTATCTGTTTTCTACAGCGGATCAACAATAGTGGGAAACCAGAGACAGCGCCCCAGGTAGCCATGGGTGATGACCTTTACCTGAGACTCCAGGTGTCAAACAGAGAGGGTTATCTGGACCCATTTCCACTGCATTTTGTCAAACCATATAGGGGTGCTCACATAACATGCTAAACCACCTGCCAATAAGCTACACTGTGTAGATTCGCAGAATGACCATGATGTGCTCAAAGGGCGATTGCAGTTGCCTTGGCGCCTTCCCTCAGCATGTCACCCTTCTCCTAAGCATGTGACCACAGTGCCTTACGTGGCAAAACGCATCTTTTCTCCCTGCCGTTCTCTGATTACCACCTCATCTCTCTTTTGAGTAGAGGAGTCTCAAAAATGCATAATTGCAATAGTAGTTTTCTTTTTAAAAATCATCTCCAGAAAATCATGCTAATGTGTTCATATCTTTTAAAAATTATTACAACTATTTGTGCTGGTCTTTCACAGCTGTGCTCATTCAGCAATCTGTGCATCTGTTACATGTACTGTCAAGGAAGCTGTGGTGTACGTAACACCCATTGCAATTGACAAATCGAGATTGGATGTAGGCAGAGTTGTGCACACTTCCTGGGGACAAGTCACCGAGCAGTTGACTGCAAAGCACCGGAGAGGCAAAAGTAGCTGCACCAAAAGGAGCAGGGGAATATCTCCCGCTTGGCGATGCCAGTTCTAAGTCCTGAACTGACACTTCTTGGTGTCCCCCATCTTTTCAACATATCCTGCTCCAGAGCTGCTCCAGAAAGAGAAGTTATTGGTTCCCCCCCGTTTCCAGAGCACCTACCAATGTATGGAACCCTGACAGTTCAAGGAAAAAAATAATAAAAACAAGAAACCAGTACCTGATGGGATACAGTGAATGGGTCCCCCGGGGAGGAAGGTGCAAATACTGCCATTGTTGGCACACCTTTTATTCTATCTTTGTATGTTTTTTTTATGTGATAAATATTTGGGAAATATGCAAAATGTTAAAGGCTGGGAAATAAACAGAGGGGAAATTAGAGCACCTGGAGTAACAGATCAGATTTCCCCTGCATGTAATTTCCAGGCATTAAATCTGCATTTATTTTGGCTTTGTTTTTAAGCTGTCAGTGATCTGCAGTAACCACAGCAGGAAGTGTGCTGATAAGGAACTGCAAACATGTGCTGAAACATACTATCACCCCTTTCTGGAACAGCGGGGGATGCCAGGTGGTGCTGAAAAAGTGGAGGGCACTGAAGCATCAATTCCATGCATTGCCGACGGGAACATATTACCCCTTCCTTTGGGTGAACCTACTTTTGCCTCATTTTTGCTTTCCCTATAAGCAAAAAATGACAAAACCAAGGATGTCTTACTTTGATCTATCAAAAGAAAACAAGACTCCCTGGAGAAGACCATCATGCTAGGAAAAGTCAAAGGCAGAAGAAGAGAAGGAAGACCAAATATGAGCTGGACTGGCTCCATAAGGGAGGCTGCAGCCTTGAACTTGAAAGAGCTGAATGGGGTGTTGTGGCCAGGGCTGGCTGGCAGGCTTTCGTTCCTGGCGCCACCGTACGTTGGAGACGACGTGATGGCACATGGCAACACCCCTCCTGGTGCCTTTTGACAACTCAGCATTGGGCCCCTGGACAAAGCAGTTTGCATGAGATTTCATAATGCTTCGTGTACATTGCCTGCTCTACAGCTCTTTTTTACAGCTGGACGATACAAGGAAATTAAGCAGGCAGGACTGCGCCTACCGGGGCAAATCCACCTAGTAACAATCATCCCATTGCACACATTTCTGGGCCCAGAAAAAAGAGTGTGAAAACAGTGGTGGTCACTTGAAGTATCAGCGAAGAGAGGGTGGCATGGGTGGCCTCAGGAAGAGAGGCAGAAGGCTTTGCTCACTACCCCATTGGACACCCTTGATAAAAGTGCTCACACCAACCCGTTACGGAGCAAGCAATCTCTAGAGCAAGGAATGGGTTGTCAGCGTGGGAAGTGCTCTGGGTTTGGGTGGCACTACAACCCATCGCGGCAAATGACCCAGGATGGGTTTTCCCATTGTGTGAACCTGGTCAATAGAGGTACTCCCACAGGAATCTTCTGTGGACAGCGGCATCACGGCTAGCAAGGCAGATGCCAGCTGAAGTACAAATGAATCAGTTTAAGGGATACATGGTTTCTCCTGACTGCAGACTTACCCTTATAGAGGGCAACTTATAAAGCAGATAGTAAACTCGGGGATGTAAGTTCAGGTTAGAAAGTCTCCTTCAGAAGTTAAGGGAAGGTATTCTGGTGATAGGACAAGATGGCTGAAAAACTAGTGTGAGTGAGTTGTGTGTTCCTGGCAGTCCGTCATGCATCTTGAGGAATGCAGTGTGAATACAGAATGAGAAAAGTGTGGCACACTATTAGGAACATAATTTATACCCCTCATTCCCAACAAACATAAGCAACTAGACAAGTTTCAAGAGGGCAGAAAATCTGTACCACTGCTGGGAGATACAGAACAGGGAAAAGGTAAAATGGCATCATCGTAAAGGGAAGACATTGAAAAACATGTCACTGCTGCAGTTGTCAAGGTTTGTGTATTTCCTCTCCTCCTCCATGTTCCACTCGCTTCCTTTGATGGGCAAGGGGCTCTGGTAATACTGACAGCTCGCATCTGCAATGAGGTAGGGATCTTCTGGAGCAAGATGGCAGAAGGAAGAGGAGACACTGTGGCTGCTGTAGTTCGGGAGCGGCTTTCCTTCATGCAACTCTTCTCCAAATGGAGCCACGTTAGATCTGAAGGGGTGGTAGCCAGCCTTCCCTGTTGGCTCCCACCGACTGGGAGCATGCTGAATGCCCAGATCGACTGTATTTATGGAGGCCAGCATTTCACAAGGCAGACCAGCAAGAAATGTGGTAGAGCCACTGCAGTGTTTCTCTGCCAGCGGAGTCCTTCCTAGGTCCATGCTCTTATTCCAGGTTTGTTGCTCTCTGTATTCAGGATACATAGAGGTTGCAGCTGGGCCCCTGCAGCTATAGTCACTTCTCCCAGTCTGTTTGCACTTGTCCAAGAATTTGTCATAGCCCATGTCTGGTGGGTGCTCTGCCAGAGAAGGTGGTTTTCCTGAAGTGGAACTTTTGGCAAGGGACAAAAAATGGCTTCCCCCCTGTTCTTGAGGAGGCTTGTCCCTGAAATTTGCACCAAAGAGCTTGTGTGACACAAAGTCCTCCTGTTTGGAGAGAAGGAAGGGCAAAGTCTCCTGGCTTTGCATTTCACCTGTCAGGGACTGAAGAAGGAAAAATGCATCATCAGCATCATGCAACCTATTAACTAAAGGCCTCTTAGTCCTTAGTTCACAGAACTGCAAGTCTCCCACCCAAACATGGATCAGGTTGTCTGATCCATCTGCACTCTTCCCTGCCCCTCAGCCCCTTTTTCCTCCTTAGAATTGCCAGGCCATAATGCTGCAGTGATGGCAGATTTCTCATGTCAGGCTGGAGACCTGGGAATGCTGCGCCGATCAGGCTTCCTTCTCTGCCTTTGCAAGTTGCAGTTCCTGCCATCTCTTATGCCAGACCTTCTTTCCCTTTGATTCTGCCTTCCTGCAATATCACACCTCTAGGATCCATTTTTCCTTAGATCCCTGCCTTGCAGACCGCTGCCTGCATTCCTCAACTTCCCTTAGCTGCTGTTACTCTTTGCTGGCCTCCCTAGCATTCTTCTTTCTCCTCCACTGTAGGATACCATTCCTTCTCATCTTAAGCAAATAAAGGTTTCTCCAGACCCACTCTGATTTATGGGCTGCTACTTGCATCAGTGTTTCGTTTCCACTGCTCCTTCCCTGAATCCTCATTCTCCACCAATCCTTTAAGTTCTTTTTCTCCTAGGTCCTTGCCTGCTTTGTACCTTCCTTCAGCCTGTGTGCCTTGGTGCTGCTTGCTGCTGGCTTCTCTGACACTTCCTAGCCCTGGTCTGTGTGAACAAGACAGGTTGGATTCACAGAAACTACACTGCAAACCATCACACCCCCTTAGCCAGCCAATGCCAGAGGCTTCCCTGCCACAAATGAAACATAATAAAGGGAAGTGGGGCCTGCATCACAATGTTGCAGCACAGAACACTCACATTCAAGGTCCCACCAGCCAGACGTGCCTTACCCAGGGCACTTTAGTACAGACTCCATCCTCAGTTTCCTCTTCTACCTCCCAAGCAGACAGTTAGCATTTTGGGACACTGAGGATCTTAAGTTCTTAATGAGCTGGGGCTTGTTTGTCTTTTGTCCTTAGATTTCTTTCCCTAAGTTGTTTGTTTTTCCCTTCTTCAAAATATGTTGCTTCCTTCAGCCTGCCAATACCTCCTCGTGCGGGTGACATCATTTTGGTTACATAAGGATCAACATTCCCTGCTCATAACAGGAATAATTCCAGGGCTGGCTCTGTGAGTGCTTCAGTCTTGCTCTCACCGTTGGTGTGTTTGCATGAACGGTGTAACATCAGAGCCCCCATATCAAGTGCAATTGGACATCTTCTTCCATGAAGTGAAACACCCACACTTTGATTTTTCCAGTTCATAGAAGAATAGAGTTGATCCCCGGTCACTCCAGCGTTACTCTGTTCATAGAAATGAGCTGATTTCACTCTTGCAAAGACTGGTTGCCTGTATATGCTGCATCACCATGATTCCTGCTCTGTTCCTTCTATTCAGCAGCTGTGTAACCCAGAGAGAGGCCCAGGGAATTTTTTCCCCGACCCTAATTTTCCCCCTAGTTCCAAAAATCTAAACAATTTGTCCTGAACATAGTGACAGCGAAGGATGAGTAGAGAGGCCAGAACTGCTGTGAGAGTGTAAACCTGTGTCGGATGTACCAATTAAGTAGCTCTCTAACTGCCACAGGGTTATTAATGGCCTAAGAAAATGTCAGACCTTTCTGAAAAACCAGCTTAACTCTATGTGGGCTTTTTGGCATGGGTCTGCATCTTCTTTAAGGAAAAGTGTTTCTTAAGAGGAGAGGAACAAGTCAATTTCTTTTACTAGAATTATATTTCCACCCACTTTCCCATATTATCATGTTGAACACTTTGCTTGAGAAGATGATTAAAACCACCTTTGCTGGCTTAATATAAGCAAAGGATCTTCCATTGCCTTTAGACCAGAATGTTTTGGAGTGAACATGTGCTTATTTAGGGTGCCAGCGATTACAGAGGTCATTTCCAGCAATTACAGTGGGATCATACGCTCCTTTGCAATCTTGTTTGCTTTCAGAGGGGGTGCAGCTTCTTACAGGAGAGGGGTAATCCAGCATATGGTCAGATCCCAATGCACATAAGATGTTGCCATTTTATCCTCAGAATAACCCTAAGGTTGGGTTAGGCTGAGACAAATGATGACGTAGCCATGATGGCTAACTAGACTCTGAACCCAAGATACGCCAGCTAACATTCAATACTAGACCTACCCACAGTACATGACTTCCGCCATGCAATGGAGAAACAAACCATCATTCCCTTACAAAAGCTCTTTCTGGGCCAGGAGCACAGCATTTGCTTTAAATATCTCTGTTACTGCTTTGCAACAGTAAAAAGGGTAATCTTCACAACGCATGTCATGATGTCAGCATTGGGAGACTTCAAAGTCTTCTTACTTATCTCACTTTGTGTGTGTGTGTGTGTGTGTGTGTTTTTTTTTTTTTTTTTGATTCATAGTAAATCGTTGCTTGTAGAAAGAAGGCACAGCAAAACCGCTCCCCTTTGCGAGGGGACTTTCCTTGCAAAGACATTCAGCCTGCGGCACATTTTTCAAAGCCCATCCCTTCCGAAGTTGAAAAGAAAGGTGATGCTCCAAGGAAAAAACTGAACAACCATCTAATTACAGTGTGTTCTATTTTTGAGCTATAAGATACATTCTCGTCATTCCCCCAACTCCTAATAACTAATATCAGGATGTTTTGCTTCCCTCGCAGAAGTTGCTCCTCATCTGAGGTCAGTGTCCACACTTTGCGAGTGGCAGTGCAACGGATGGCTGTCAGAATGGCCACTGACTCCAGCGCAGAGGCCTTCCACCGAAAGAGGCAGGACTCAAGTTGGAGTAAGTCAGTTTGAGCACGGCAGGCCATATAAGTAAGTCAGTTTGAGCACGGCAGGCCACATGTGCTCATACATAGCCTATTTATGACAGTCTTGCTCAGTTATGGGAGCAGCACGGGACTAAAAGGGTCAGAAGGAAAAGGTGGGAGATGACCCAACTTTTCTGGGACACCTCTAGAGCAGCCCCTGAATTCCAACGCTCCATTGTAACCCTTGTTCAAAGAAAGAGCATGAAGTAACCATGAAACTAGAAGCAAATGAGCCCACCAGGCAACCTCCTCTCCCTTCTCTTAAATAATGCTCTAGTTGCAACCAAAACACAGAATGCTGGTGGGGTGGACTTGGTCCACAGTCACCAGGCGATGCAAGGCAGGGAGCCACTTTAGCCAGCACATGGCCCGCCAATTTCCTCAATTACTTTCTCCCGCAGAAGGAAATGGTAGCTATGCTCTCTGGAGAGGAGCAAGAGTTCCCCGTGGTGCAGGGGCGCAGCTGCACTGGGGTGGCGCCTGCCTGGCCTCCAGCTGAGTGCTGCGCAATGCGGGGCCCCTTGCGGTTTGGCCTCTCCTCGTTCCCGTGCTTCTCCTCTCATGATGGGGTCTGTTTTGCTTGTGAAGATTTACCTCGGTATGTTTGCTCCGTTTAAATCTGGGAGAAGTCGGTACTTGAGTTTTTTGTATCGATCTTCTGGCTTCTGCTTCTGCTTTTGTTTCTGGTCTTGGGTGATCATGCGTGCCTTTTGACTTTAAAAACAAATGAACAAAGTGGAGAAACAGAAAGCCACAATAACAGCTTCCAACATAGCCCTTACTAGACAAAATCCCAAGTTAAATGGAAGACTCCTGATCTATGATGCTGGTTCTTATTGGCCTGAACAGCAAAACCAAATATAGGTTATTCTGTAGGGAAAACTTGGACTGAGAGACTCACTAAGAATCAAAATGAAGAGCATAATAAAGAGTACAAGATCAGTGACTGAAATTTAGGTGGTCAAGTTCTGATGTAACTTCTTGGAGTTCTCTGCCTACTCTTTTCTCAGGTCCTTCTTTCTTAGCCAGTCAGCAGTTCGTATAACCCAAATTGTATCTATGATTGGCCAACTAGATAAATTTCATAACTTATCTATCACTTTCTTAACTTAGATAACTCTCCTTGAAGCAGTGTGAAACACTGCATTGCTCATCATCAGAAAGATCACTCACCTAAGACAACCAGCTTTTGTTGAATAAATCAGATAGATTTTTTTTACCAACCTGAAAAAATATGAATGGTCCTTCATGTCTCCAGAAGTTGGTTACAGGGTACCCACCGTGGCCTCGACAGGGAATTAGCTTCAAAGGCCCGTTACAGTTAGGGCATGATTTCCCTATAATAAGTTAAATATTTCCTTTCAAATGAACTCATTTGCAAGAGTCATCCATACAGTCTTCATGTCCTGCTAGCTCTAATTGTGTGGGATGTAAGACCCTCTTTTTCTGCTAAGCTGTGACTAAGCAGAAGCTGTCGTTATCTGTGACAAACAATCATCATTTCAGCATCTGATTCCGAAGACATTTATTTGGAAGTGAGCCCCATTGATCGCAATGGTGATTGCCTCCATAAAAGTGTACCTGGAATTCTAGCTGTCAAGATGGTTCCACATGCTCTGGGTGGGGTCCAAAGAGACCTGTGGCTGTGCACACACAAGTACATGGCCCTAAAGCATGTCCATGCATGCACATCACCTGCCTTCAGGGGCAGCTGCTCAGGTGTGGAACATGTTGTTGCAGAAGAGGGTCCTGAGTGCGACACATGGAACATTTGGCTACTACCCAAGGCACAGGAGTTGGATGCATTGAAAGATCTGGGACTTCTTATGCTAAGAGTTTGGACTATGTCCTGCATTCAGAATCAAAGTATTAGATCTGTATAAACTAACGAGAAATGTACTATATGCAAAACTGACAGAAAAAAACTAACCCACAAAAAACTTGTTAGACCTTGCATGGAATAGGCCAAAATAGATTGAAGAAAAGCAAACCAGCAATATTTATTAAGAATATGGCATACAAGTCTGTTGACATACCAATACACGTGTAAGGCAGAATGCCCTGGAACTGCGCAGTACTTAATTAGAACAATGTTTTTATACTTCACCTCATCCTCCAACAACTTTCTCATAGGTCCCCTCCCTTCCTGAGGCTGGGAATCCCCCTCTCTCTGTTCGTACCTTATCTAAGGAAGACCCTTTCCAGGTGCAGTTCAAAGACTCACCCTCGGCCTGCTTCCTTCTTGTTCCCATATGTAGGGGCAGTTCTCCTACTGCTACATACACACAAGTTTTCTCTTTAACCCTGTATTTGTTAGAAGACAAGAGGCACCATCTTCTCCACGGTCCTCAAACTACGGCCTGGGGGCCAGATCCGGCCTGCCATGCCCATTTATCTGGTCCACCTCAAAGGTTTCCAATGCGCTGTGCGTGCACCCGCCACTGCTGCCTCGCCCTGTGTGCGGGGAGGCGGCGGCTGGCTTGCCTGGAGATCGTTTTGGGCTCACTTGGGGAAACCATCTCCAAGCGAGCAGGCCGCTGCGTTGAGGCGCATGCCCGCCCCCACCTGGCCTCGCCTCCCCTCGCACGTGCGCCAAGCCCCCGCCTCAGCACATGCGCACCCATGTGCCCGGTCCCAGCTCCTGTGCAGGCCCAACGCCCCGCCGGCACCACCTTTCCGGCCTGCGCCCAGCACTGGCACCTTTCAAGTGATCCCCCGGTCTAAAAGCTGAGGACCCCTGATCTTCTCCAACAAACCCAAACTGGGGAATCCCCCCCTCCACCCCAGACATGGCCAATGCCAAATCTTTCAGTGGTACCTGAATACCTATTTGTTCACCCATGACTTTGGACCGAATATGGGTGGGTGCCCTTTGTGCACAACTATTTACAGAGGGAAACGTCTGTCTTGCTTTTGTTTTATTAATTAACCGTAATTATTTGATTGGTATCATACCCTGTTTTGTGATAATTTTGTAATGAATACCATATACACTGGTGTATAAGGTGACCTGCATATAAGACGAGGTTGATATTTCTGTCATTTGTCGTATGTCAAGCATATAAGACAACCCCCGATTTTTGCTTCATTATTTCCTGTGTATATAAGGGTTAGGGTTTAGCAAATCTATCATCTATCCGGACTTTCTGCATTTGCAAGTCAAAACAGATGAATACGGACAGCTAGTGTCATGGCAACCCCAAACAGAGTCCCTAGAGGTATCCACATTTTTTCATTAGAGATATTCACTGCTTTTTTCTAGAGATATTTGCACCTTTTCCCTAGAGATATTCACAATTCTTATTAGAGATATTTGTGGTTTTTCCACTTTTGCAGGGTCCTGTGCTTTCAGGATCCACTGGGGGTCCTACTATATGATGAAAAATTTTCATCTGGAGTATAAGACTTCCAGTTTCAAGAGTCATCTTATATGCTAGTATATGCTGTATATAAATTTTGTAATGTATCTATTTAAAATTTGACAAAATTTTTACTTTAAAGAGTCTCATCTGACTACAGCATGATATAGTCAGATGATAGTCTGACTTCCCATTTTCAATCCTGAATCCACTCACCATGGAATAAACCTCACTGAATTCAGAGGAGCTTATTTCTAAGTAGCATCTATGGGATTGTATTTTCAGGGAATAACCCTATAATCACCACCAGAGCAGATGCCAGTAAGCTTCTGAACTTGGTGGCTTTCAAGCATCCAAAGCAGAGATGCTATGCCTCACACCCTACAGTATATCTAGATGATTATTATGCAGAAGTAAGTGCTACTGAATTCAACGGAGCTTACTCCCAAGTAAGGTTGTTCAAGACTGTATTCACAGTGACTTATTTTTCATATGACTATTTTCCATTTTTTTCAATTAAGTCTTTTTTGGAGAAAGCTTCTATTTAGAAAGCCACAGAACAGTTTACATTATATTTGCAAAACTTCATAAAATACGTATATATTTATTGCATCAAAGTAACTCCATACACATTACAACATTACTAACTTACAAGTAAGAATGTTCTACCTTACCTAGGAGTCAGTTCAATGAATTAAGTGGTGCTTACTGCCAAGAAAGGATGCTTGGAGGACCACCTTGTAAGTCTATATAAATTTATGCATTTTATACACTCTAAATTATTTTATAGCTATAATTGAACCATTTAAAGTAGAACCCCAAATGAAAGGTAGGGGAGAGAAGGGCAAGGGGGCTAGCATTTGAAGGCAGGCCACAGGTGGCAGCTCTTGTTGTCAGGCTGGAAAGCTGCATGGATAAGAAATAGGGCAAACAAGTCCACAGAGAGTCCAGATAGGTGCTCATGATAGACTTCATCTCTGAATACAGACAGGAAAGGAAGATTTTCTGTCCACTGAAAAAAAGGAAGCGAGAACTTGTCCTTCCAGTGTTACAGCACAAGTCACTCTGCATCATAAGGGCTGCTGAATGCAACTCAGCAGTGCACGTGCCCCTGAAAACATCAGTCCAGGACTGATCAGTGCCACAGCCTCTGCCTGGGCAGAGACGCACAGGCATTTTGACAGAGTAGCTTTCTGTGGGGGGTACATTTTTCTTAAAGAGGCACCAGGGGGTCCAGTAAGTGCAACACAACGATTTTTGCTGCAACAACCTGTTTCAAATCAAGGGAAAAATGCAGAGCCCAGGCGTATTTTTCCCCTGCTGTTGCTTCCTGCTCCAATAGTCTGTATATGTGTCAACTTTAGCCATGTTGAGAATTTGCCCGTGTTGCCATATTACAAATTTTATGACTTGGGTTAAGCTAATCAAGCCTTCATACAAGGCTGGGAGGGGCACAGAAGAACTGAGGGTCTTTGGTTCATACCCAGAATATGATAAAAAATAAATCTGGCCCAACCAGCTGGTTTAGAGTGCGAATTCTACATCAACCCATTCTTTGCATGTAAAATAAATGGTTCCCAAATTTTAAGGCAGAAGTGAGAGCCAATTTAGCACAAGAATAAGGATCCAACCATGATTCATTGCCTGAAGATATGGTGGGTGGAATTGTTCCTTCTGCATGTAGAGCTAAGTGCTAACCAGCTTTTGAGGAGTGCTCAAGAGAACGATCCCAAGTTGGCCTGCAAGGCAAACCTTGAGGAACAGCAAGGTCTGCCCCCATAGACACAAAATGGATGTCAACTTTGTAGAATCAGCTAAGATGTGGAAAATTAACACAACGACATTTGTTGAGAGAGAGAATCTAGGATGATCTAATTTGTGTTCCGAACAAATGTGCAGAATAGCAGATTACATTTATTAAAACAAATCCTGAGTGTATGGAAGCAAATTCCCCAAAGAACATATTTGATACAGGGTAGAATATTCATTTAAATTTATATTAGCTTTACTTTAAGAATTTACAGACTATAAGACTCTCCACGTCCAAAGTTATCCCAACTCGATTCCAAAGATATCAAGTTTGATATCTCTGGGAATTTGTAGCTCCAGATGAGCTATGACTTCAGGATACTATCAAAGCTGACACTGACTACACAAGTTCGGCAGGGTATTCATTCCCATAGGCATCACCCCCAAGTCCAGTTAATAGCATAGCCATAGAACAGGAGTGAGCAATTTCAAAAGTTCTCAAGGACAATTTATGACCCACGGAATCCAAATTCCCCTGCTGCTGATATTGTTGCACCTGCTACGAAATTTAGTGACAATGTGGCAGTAGCAAAAAGATTTCATTTCAAAGCAAAGTGCATGGAGAGCCTTGTTTTATTGCAAATTGGCATTCCTTTTACACCTTTTTTTAAAGTGAAACTGTTACTTTCTTACCACTACCACTGCTAGTCTGGGGACGATGGCAAATGGAGCATCATGTAGAAAGGCCGACAGACTACCAAATTCCAAAATATTTTGATAGAGGGAAAAATACGTTGTGGCTAAAGAGAAGCATGTACATGGGTCGTATACCACTCAAGAGAAAATCCACCTGGTCCAGAGGTCTGGCCATTCTTAAGGGTTTTAATGGCCTCTTTCATATCTTTTACAGGGGTGCAGCAAGGAAATCATTTAGCTGACAGTCCAACCAAGGGAAATCTGAGCTTTCTCTGGAACATTAGGGAATTAATCATTCTTGCATAAATGTCTTCCTCATACTTATCTTAAATGGATGAATTTTCCAAAGATGGCATTAGAATCCGTGTCATTCAGCAAGGAAAAGTTTAAATGTCAAGCCCCTGTAGGTTTGGAAATATGTTCTAGCTAGAAAAACTAATGTAAGTACACTCATTGATGGGGATGGCATCACTCCTGTAATCACTAATTGATTGAATTAGAGTGGAAGATATTGAGAAAAAAATCTAAATGAAAATAGTTTGGGGGAATAGAAGACAGAAACATATAATCTCAGTTTGCAGTTGCCAAGTATCTACCAGTCCCTGCTCTGTCATAACCTTTTAGCTTTTGATTAAAACTTGCAGGGAGAAGCTTTCTATCCAATAATGGATCAATAATACCATTAAAGTCTGCACTTCTGATTAACTGGCAATTTATTCTTCTTATCTTTATGAGAAACGGCAAGGAAGTCAATTAATCATGGACAATGTGCTTGGATTTTTGCCATCAGAATTAAGAAATGACCTTCTGAGTCTTGTACTCCATACTGAACTATAAACTGACCCTTTTTAGGAATTAGTTTAGCTACATGTCTTTGTTTTTATTTGAGGATCCTCTGACAGCTACCTCTTCCACCCAATCTTTCAATGTCCTTCATTGTCCAAGAAAGCAAAATAAATTCCCTCTAGGAAAAGTACACCAGTACTCAGAAAAGAGAGGGGGGGGCGGCTTAGAGTTAGTGGAGAGTACATCAAAGGCAAGACCATAGATATTGGCATGTATTGTGGTCTGGATCTGCATGTACAATGGGTTCTACCCATGTTATCTTGAGACGTGGTTCTAATAAGCAGCACTCCTTTGGTTAAAGCAGTAATAAATCTGATTACCCAGTTGTCCAGTAACAAAATGTTCTTTGCAAAGGAATTTCAGGATGTAAAGACAAGGTTCTATGACCTGTTTATTACTGTAATGACCTGTTTATTACTAACAGGTGGCAATTGAGGGTTAGAGCAACAGGGAGTAAGAGAAGGACGGGGTAAGAGGGTTAAATAGGTTAGAAAACAGAGAACAGAATAATGCACAAGCTAAGTAAACCTTGTACAAAACCCATTAAGCTGCTTTCCCAGCCTGTCATACTGAATCACAAAACTAAACTTCTAAATACCTGAGTTACCAACTATAAGTCTTTGAGGGTGCCCGGCCGGGGGGGGGGGGGGAGATGGCCATATTAAATTCATATGACCACCACTGTCACTAGACTTCAGTATCCTTACATTTCATTCCCCAGTACCAATATAGGAGTATTATTATTACTAATAGTATTATTGGTAATCACCAAAATCAACACCAAAACAATAATGACTGAAAAGGGGAAAATGCATAGTCACTCCATCCTCTAAAAAGGACATGGATTTATGTGTATTTAATCATGCACCTGTGAATAACTGATATAGCCAAATCACCTCTGGACACAAATGGGCTGCATCTCATATGTGTTCTACTTCTATGACTGGAAATATTACAACTGCCTGTGTTCTGCTTGCCCAACTGGGGGCCACTACCATATTTTAAAAAGTGCCCACTGGTGGACTAATGGTCTATTGCAGAGGTGGGCAATTTGTGGTCTATAATTTCCATCCATTCCAACCAGCATAGCCAATGGGAAGGAAAGATGAGAGTCCTACGCTGAAACATCTGGAGGACCTCAAGTTGCCTATCCCACGATTTAGTGTGTTGCCTGCACATAAAACCCCCATATTCTGTAGCTCTTGGCTTTGAGGTACCAGGCAGCTCAGTTTGCCAGGAACGATCACTTGCAGGAACAATGTTCCTCCATTACTCCATTCTGTTCATGCTGGGTTGGTTCTGCGTCCTTCCTCTGTGATATTCCTGCCTGCAGCTGCTGGGATGTATTGCCTGGTTACTGAAGTGATATAGGACAGCCTCCCAGGTGCCCTTCTGGTATGGCTCGTTATTGTGCAGTGGGTAATCTCCATACGGACACTGTAGTGGCCTGCTACCATGGGGGAGTTCACGTTCTTTGCTACTTTGCTGCTGAGCGCTTCGGCATCTCCCTGATCTTCTGCTTCTGGCTGGAGAAAAGTTCCTGAAAAGCAGTGGTGCCAGATGCGGCCCAGGCCCTTCGTGTCAAAGTTCTGCTGAACCTGTGGACAGTTCACCATTGTCCCATTCTTCCGCGCAGTAGGCAATAATGTTGCCCACATACATTAAGATCTAAGTCGGTCAGTTCTTTGCTTCACACTTTACTGGTTGCATGTGCTTCATCTGGGGCTCTCATCAAAATAAACGTGATTTACTGCCCCTTTGGAAACCTTGAGTTGCAGCACACTGTACGTGTTACACCTTGCCAGCATGCCCTCTAGTGACCTCGGTACAGCCCATGTACTGTATCAATGTGAGGCATGTTGATAACACCAACTCCTCTGCCAGTCCTAATTGTCAAATTCCTTCATCACAAGAGTCCTCAAGGTCCAAACTGTATTTTGGAAAAGACTGGGGGGGAGCACATTCCACTGGTGAGCAGGGCAGAAACCAAAGGGGGAGAATGAACAATGCTTGAAACTCTTGCTGCACAGAAGTCAGAAAACCACCGAACAATCAGCAGTCGAGAGAGAAAGAGCTGGAGATGGAGGCCATGGCCATGTGCAATCCAGGAGGGCTGCATTTAGAATGAACTTCTGCACTTCTTCTTTGTTGACTCAGGGTTTCCAGGCCCTCCGCACCCAGGCCAAAGGTGCATCTACTTGCTTGTCATGGGAGGTTTGGGTGGCTGATCCAGGTTCATCCCCACTCGCAAGCCTGCCCAGGTAGTCGTTTACCATTCCCTCGGCTAAGGCACCTTTCCCTTCCTGAATGGGACATTCCTTCCCATGCTGAGGTGCTGCGGCTGGTTAGCCATTTCACTGAGAGAAGGCCTTTCTCTAGGCATGTATACGACATTGTTCATTAAGATCTTGTTTTTGTCTCCAGATGGCACAGTGAAGCTTAGAAATCCCTGCCTGGCTCCCTCCACAGTGATGCTCTTCCCACTGGTAGAGAAGAATTTGTCTTTTGTGCTGCAGTCAATTCTGTGAAGGAATCTTTGTCAGAGGTCATGTGGCTCGCTGCTCCTGAGTCAATGCATCCGCTTGATCACCCACTTCTTGAGCAACTTTAAAGCAGTCAGTCCACTCCCCCTCCGTGGTCGCATTCCTTCCCTCCTCTATTCGGCCGCTCCGTGCGCCCACTCGTGTGTTCCATTTCCAGAATGAGGTGGGGGGAAATGCGGAATGCAGGTAGAGTGGGGTGCAGAGGAGGCATGTGCAGGCTCTCTTGCCCCAGGCTGCAGGAGAGCGTGCACTGGCCCTGGCTGAATCAAGGAGACTGAACCCAGAATGTGAAAGGCTGGTCAATTTTACTGAGCCATCAGCAGGCTAAAGAAAACTGCAACGAGTCGCTGTAAGTAACCATTTACAGGCAAGATTCCTTTCCAACCTGGGAAATGATGCCAAAATTCTAACAGAATGAAACCACCACTACTGCAGAACTCAGTGAACGTTATACATTGTAAACACATGCAAAACAAAAGTTCTTTGGGTTCCACCTGGTTGCTAGGTAACATTTACTTCCTCTGTGATACTTACTTGCACCCAAAACTGTCTGATGAATCCAGAGTTGCCAATTAGCTCTTCACTCTTAGTAATCCTCATTATGCTAACTACTTTAAACACTCCAAGAACAAGTTAGCTTTTTGCGTGTGTCTTGGTAGGATGTTGATTACCTGCCACGGCTATCCCAACAACTTCTCCTTGGTGTATTTAAGGAGATTGTTTCTGAGAGACAAGCTCAAGAAGGAGATTGTTTCTGAGAGAGAAGCTCAAGAATTTCACAGTGAAGGTATGCAGGTACATAACAAGGGAGTGGTGTTCCCTGTCATTCTCTAAAGCATAATCTGCGGACAGAGAAAGACATTCACACAGCAGATTTGCTAGGAAACTAGTGGGGATCCCCTGCTCTTCCCCTTCTCTCAGCTCCCGAAGTCCACTCTTTGTATTCCTTGCAACTCTGCTACCATTTCATGAAGTATAATATTATCTGCTTGCAAGTTTTTTACCAGTTGTGTTGTGGCTTGTTGTTTGCCCTCCATTTGGGATGCACTGTTTCTACTGAGCCCAAACATTGAGGAATTTGATCCACAGTGCACTTTAAGTCTGAAAAACATAGGAACAAATGGAGTACCTGTCTGCTCACACAGGGTGCAAGAAGGGGAATGTAGTCAGGTGAGTTTTTTAGATCTGGATTATTAGAGTCCAGCTAACACCTCCCCACACATTTTTCTGCTTGCCCTTTTGTGCAACACTGGGGAGGGATCAGGATACTGAAACTCCATCTGTTTTTAAGCAGAAGTCAAAGGATCCCCACAGATGTGCTAAAGATGGCACAACTCAATGAAATACTAAAAATAAAATAATATGAAATAATAAAAAGAAAAAAGAAATGGCAGAAGCCTTACAACATGGAAATAAGGCAATTAGGATCAACGAAAGCTTTTCTGCTCAGAGGCTCCATCATAAGTCTCTATGTTCTCTCATGTTAAGGCAAGATCTACTGAACTCTGTGGGACTCACTTCTGAGTAAGCATGCATAGAATCCAGCTGCAGGTGCTTCAGCATACTTATGGCTGCCTATTTATGGATCAGCTCTAGTCAAAAACTATCTCGATTTCAAAGTAGAAGGGATCAGATTACCAAACAGAGTATTTCTGTGTCTAATTTCTAAGAAAGTACAATTCCAAACGGCACGTGGAGCAAGCTCACCCTTTCCATGGAGCCATACTTACTTTGCTGCTTTTGCCGAGCCTTATCACATATGGCTGGTCTCAAGTACATCTTGCCCCCACCAGGCGCTGAGCATTCACTGCCACAGACCACGACTCCCAGGCAGGACTTTTTCAAGATGCGCGAGTTGTGATTGTTGGTGTTCCTCATTGCCCAGCTACTCAGGTGCCTTTGAGCATTTTTATCATCAGCACTATAGATACATTTTACATAGGAATCTGGCCATTCCTGAAACCAATCTGTTTGTTTCACATCCTGTTAGAAACCCAAAGAACATTAGGAACCCAAGAAAACACAAGATAGGTGCTTCGCCCACTCTGGAGATTTTAAAGATAGTCAATTAAGTCTGCAGTGCAGACATGGACATCTTATGGCTGAGATCTATATTTATAGCAGAAACTATTATTTGTTGCCTTCAGGCATAGGAAATATTAAACTGGCTGTTTTCTTGCACATTTTATGGTAGACTCAGGCCTGGTAGGGAAAGTGGAAGCAAAGGCTGAGGTATATGGCCCTTTAATCAGAGCAGTGAGCCGGATAACCCAGGCAGATGCAGAGATGATTCCCAAGGACACAGTGATAGTTTTCCTCCAATAAGTATCTGTTCCATATTATTAAGCACAAACTAGAGGGGAGCAATTACACACCTTCTTCAAGGGTCATCAAATGCATCATGAGTATTTTTTCCCCTTGCAGGAGATTTTTAAAAAATGGTTATTCAAAACAGGCATAAAAATAGTATGTAAGCTCTGGTGGAAATTTTCCTTTTGAAATCTCTTGCACAAAAATTCTTAACCCTTTCTGAAGTTAAGGGAAATTACCAAGCATTATTGGTGTTCTGTATGGAACAGCTTCTGACAGAGGAACTCTCATTTACATTTAAGATGTGTCTGTTCTTTGGATTATGACCAACTAGCAGATAGATCCCAGATAATGCCATGTACTATCTAACCACAGCTTGCAACTTGTGGTTTTCCTTGTTGGCTATAAAAATCAACAAAACATTTTGGCCAGCAAGTGATTTTTATAAAATGCTGCAGTTACTGGGGTCTACCTCAAATAGGAGGAATCTACATAGAAATCACAAGGTATCTTTAGAAGCAACCACAATACTCCCATACCAAGGAGTCAAAGAACAAAGTCATACTAGAGCTAGGATCAGCGTAGCAAATAGCTAAGGGATGTTTCAGTAAAGTCAAGCACTCTTAGTGGGAGATACTGAAAGACGTTCATAACTTTTCCATCAAAAGCAATTCAACTCAAAAGTGCTTTACTTTGGGTGAATTATATCCAGGGGTCTGCAAAGTGCGCTAGCCCCTGGAAATGAGGGCCTGGTGACATGTTACACAAGAATATTTTCCATCAAATTCTGTTCAGACTGTTTCTTCAATGATGCTTTTAACATTTAGCTACAATGTACAACCTAGTAGCAGCTAAAATCTAATACAACAGTTATTGACATGTTTTAAAGGACCAGTCATAAGTAACTGTGGGTATAATCGTTCATTTCAGTGGGTCTTCTGCAATGCATGGAAGTTCTGGGTGGATTTTGGTCAAAAACGCTTAACTGATGGAATTTGATGGCTTATTCTGACCAACTGGCATCAAATCAGTTAAAGATATAAATACTAAACTAGTCTATGAATCTTATTATTATCGTCACATTACATTTATATATTGCATTTTCTTCCTCCTGTAAGGAACCAAAGGTGTCTTAAAAGATTTTCCTCTCCATTTTGTCCCCCCAACAACCCTGTGAGGTTGACAGTCTGAGACTGGCCCAAAGTCACCCAGTGGGCTTCATGGTTTGAGTCGGGATTAGGACCAGATCTCTTGAATGCCAGTCCAACAATCTAAACACTACACCACATTGGCTGTAATGAGTTCCAATATGGTACCACTGAAATTGATGATGAAACACCCAATGTATTTCAAGAACTTTCAGTTGCAAGTTTGAATTACATTTCCATACGATGTTCTAAGTTATTATGCTCACAATGAGTTGGATCTAGACTTAGTCATAGACTCACTTAAATTAGTGGACCTAAACCAAGACTAACTGAAGTCCCATTGATTTCAGTGGGTGTACACTAACAGTGCAGTTCTATGTCTATTCAGAAGTAAATTCCACTGCATTCATTTGGCCTTATTCCCAGGTATGGGAGGATAGGACAGCAGCATGAGCATGACTAATTCTGGATCTAACCCACTGTGAAAGTTTCTTGAGGCAAAGATCTGTCATCTGTCTTGTGGCAGAAATTTGGTTTATATGGCTCTGTAATATTTATATTCCACCTTTTTTCTTTTAAAGAACTTAGAGCAGCTTACATCATTTTCCTCCTGCTGCTCTCAGTCTTATCCTCACAAAAACAACCCTGTGAGGTGGGTGCGGCTGAGAGCCTCTGGCTAGCCCAGAGCCACCCAGTTGGCTCCATGGCTGAGCAGAGACTAGAATCCAGATCACCCAGTCCCACACTCTTAACCACTACACCACAATGGTTCTCATACAGTCTATGCCAAATTCTGTAAAGAGATGGAAAAATAAGTAAACAAATAAATTATATGTAATCCATTCTATTTTAAGGATATTCTAAAGTTATTTTAAAACACTTGCAATGACTAAAACAAGCTTGAAATAGACATACCTTGGGGAGTTTGATGTCATTGATGTCCCAACTAACTGTTTCCCCATGCTGAGAAGCCAAGTCTTCCTGTCCTGTGCGCACATCCGCTGTAGCTCTCTGCATTTTAGAATCCTTCCCCTAGACTTCACAAGAGCAGTCTCTACTGTCAGTGTTTGAAGTTGTCTGGCTGCCACTGCTTCCAAGTACTTTAGAACCAGGAAGCTGTTTCCTGAAGCTAAATGATAGGCTGCTCATTAAAGATAAAAATCAGTATTCTTTTGCTAGAAAAACCCGTTCCATTAAACGTTTTGCAAGGGACAAAGATAATGGAAAATATAGCTTCAAGACAAGAGTGTGGCTCTTATGGAGATGACATTAGCAGAAAGAAAGCAAAAGAAGTCCCAAATATAAGTTTGTTGCCTTGTTTTCCAGTTTAAGGAAGTAGAAGACACACCTGTTTGCTACTCACTAAACCCACACATGGCAGTAATGAGGAAGCAAATTAGTATGTCGTGGTTCTGCTCAGTTAGAGAAGGCATTTCTGTTTGCAAATTTTCTCCCCTGCACGTGGAACGTTCTACAAACTGGTCCCATGCAGTGATCCTAGGGTGGCCAGCTCTCTGTTGTACAGAGAACAATCCTCTGTTTGAAGATGCCCCCTGTTTGAAGAGATAACCAGTCCGGATCCAGTTTAAAGAGCAAGAAGCATAAGCAGCAAGAGCCGGGCCTCCGAGCTGCCTATCGGCAGTGACTATTTGGACAACACAAGAGACCACTTGCTCGGCTTCTCCACTAGGATGAGTTGAATTGCATTTCAATTAAAATTCTAGTTTTTATTCTTAAATTGGTACTTATGCATATATATCTGTATATGAAAAGGGTAGGCAAAATGGTACCAGTTTTATCTTTGGGATGCATTTCCTCTTCCTTTTGTTTTGGGATGCATAAGTGGCTGTCTTTGCTATAAATTATAATTGTGACTAAGTCCCACTAAGACCAATGAAACAGGTTAGTTCATCAGGTTAGCTTAGGGCCAGAACAAACAAAGTGCAGGAGACCTGTGACCCTTTCTCTCCTGACATTTTCTAGTTTGTAGCTCAAAGCAACAACTCCTGCAAGTCCCTTGGACCGCAAGGCGATCCAACCAGTCAGTCCTAGAGGAGATCAACCCTGACTGCTCTTTAGAAGGCCAGATCCTGAAAATGAAACTCAAATACTTTGGCCACCGAATGAGAAGGAAGGACTCCCTGGAGAAGAGCCTAATGCTGGGAACAATAGATGGCAAAAGAAGAAGGGGACGGCAGAGGATGAGGTGGATAGATGGAGTCACTGAAGCAGTCGGCGTGAGCTTAAGTGGACTCCAGGGGATGGTGGAGGACAGGAAGGCCTGGAGGAATGTTGTCCATGGGGTCACGATGGGTCAGACATGACTTTGCGACTAACAACAACAACAGCTCAAAGCAGCCATAGGAACTCCCAAATCTGACTGGGGCTGTGGCTTCTCCCATGCTGTTTCTTAATCTAAATTTCCTCCCAGCAACTACATGCAATTTCTATACCATACCCCTCTCCAGGTAAAACCTGCTTCTGCAACAAAATTAATTCCTTTTAAAGCAAACTCAAAACACCAATGATTTATGAAGAAGAGAAAACATTTCCATCACAGCACTGGTTTGGAAGACAAAAGGCCTGAAGCATACTCACCATTGCAACATCTGACACCTACTTGTTACACAGACTAGCCATGGGCCGAGAAACCAGACTTTTGATTGATTGCTTTTCATGCAGCTCTGTTCTAAGTATGTTTATAGCCCAACAGATGGCAGCAAAGACATCCTTTTCCTTTACAGTTTTGCAAGGCCTGTGGACATCACTAGGTGGCATTGAAGAAACTTCTAAAGAAAACGGTGCAGCAACAGCAAATTTTTTTTGCTTGCGGTAGATGTACGCTCAAAACCGAAGTGTGAGCTGATGCTCTTCTCCTTCTCCCTCCCTATTCGAGCAGTTCATTTCACCAGGCATATGGCTGCACATTCAGAGCAAAAGGGCAGTTGTCAATTTCATCCACTGTCTGAGTCAGAGCAAACTGATGGGTTGAACCAAAGATCTTGCTAGTTCAGAATTTTGCTCCCATGGTGGCTTCAAGCGAAGTAGGATGTGAACGCTCTGCTTGTGCGTCCCAGCAACTGGAACTGGGGGAAATGCAAAACCATTGTCACTAGCAGTCATCAATAGCCTTATCTGCCACATATTTGTCCAGTCCTTTTGAAAGCCACTGATGGCTTTGTAAAGAAAATGTGGCCAAGGTTCCTGAGTAGTAGACCTATCAATGCTAGAATGCTATTTTATCCAAATAACTCAGATTCTTAAACAGCTCCTTTTATCTTATACTGGTACTAAAACTTGCTCAGAATCCAGATGTTAATTGACTTCTAGTTTGGGGAAACTTTTCATTAATGCCATCTCTGGCTAGTATTCAAAGTGCTTGTTTGTTTGTTCTCAGAAAGCATTAAATGTTTGCTTATAGACATTAATATGATGCTTGCAAGATTCAGTGGCAAGGAGGGAGATCCTGATAAACACAACAGAGCTTCACACCTGGGTTCTTAACAGGAGATGACCAGGTTGGTGGAGTGACCAGCAGTCTCCTGAAAATATAAGCCACATAAACCAGTGTGTTTGCTAAATTTTGCCGATTTGCCAACCCTTACGTTAGCTCTGCAGATACAGAAGCCTGCAATCTAGGGCAGGAAGCCTACAGGGCTGGTGATGCAACTGCAGAGGAGCCTCAGGCTCTTCAAAGAGGCTTAAGCAATCCGTCAGAGCCCCAGTCTTGGGCGCTGCGAACCCTTAAGCAAGTACCCGGATGCACTCGCGCTCAAGGCCGTTCGGGCCCTGCTAAGGCCACCGCGCACACAAGCAGCTATCCTGAGCTGTTTATTCTGAGGCTGTTATTCATTGTTCACTCATCTTTTATCTACATGATTTGTCAGCAAATCTTTGTTCTCTGGTGCTTTCTTCCTATACATATGTGCATAGATTAGCCGTGGGCAATGTGTAGCTCATACCAGACGCCAAACAATGAACAAGCACCCTAGTTTACCCTCGTTCTCCAGCCGACGCCTTGCGGTTTTTGTTTGTTCATTTGTTTTTTCACACGAGTAGTGCTGAAAGCCTGGAAGCACAGCGGCTTTTATTTATTTCTTCATTCATTTATTGGTCTGGGTCATTCTGCTAAAGTTAAAGATTGTCATGATGGGACGAACCCTGCAAGAACCAAAGGAATTCACTGTTTACTGCAGCAGCCAAATTCCTTTGATTGCATCATTGCTAAGGTAATGACTATGTTATAACCACAGGGTAGAGCTCCTGGGAAGCCTGCAATATTTGCAGGTGGAGGTGGAGGGATTGGACAAGAGTGAACAAAATATCAGTGCTACCCCACCGAGCATAACTAGTTGTTGCTTTTGTGGGGCTGTCTAGGAACAGGTCCATGCCCCACCCTCAGAGTCTCTCTAGATGGGTCATTAAAGTTCACCTGCAATACTGCAATATGTATTTAGTCTGGAACGGCCACACTTGGTTCACTCAGTGTTCATTGGCCATCCACACGATGCAACCAATCAGTCAATGTGATGCTGTTATTTTCCCTGCAGTTCTTTTCTCGGGCACTCAAAGTCCAATTTTCTTCAGGAGAACCGAAGAACACCATTGTCTCTAGAGGTACAGATGCTTTGAAAACAGCTCTTCTGTGTTTTTAAAATCTGACACATGATTTTGTAAGTGAGCAGTATTTCTTTCTCTCACTACACACCCTGCTTAACTCTTATTTTTAATTCAGTGTTGTCATTGGATTGCTGGTTAATAGCAGGTGTCAAACAAAATAGCCCTGAATTTCTTCCTTTGTAACCGTGAACTCACTTTTCCCAAACAGCTGACTGCAGAGAAGGGGAAAATAAATTCTTTCTAGAAGGCTGAAGACAAACTCTTACCCACCACTGTCTCCTCCTGAGAATTCCAAGGCTTACTTTGGGTGGAATATAGAAGAGAAAGAAGACCAAAATAGACACACAACCACACCATACCATACCACACCATTGTTGTTGTTCAGTTGCAAGGTCGTGCCCAACTCTTCATGACCCCATGGACAACATTCCTCCAGGTTCTCCTGTCCCCCACCGTCCCTCAGAGTCCACCCAAGCCCACACCTACCTCTCCAGTGACCCCATCCAGCCACCTCAACCTCTGCCATCCCCTTCTCCTTTTGCCTTCAATTGTTCCCAGCATCAGAGTCTTTTCCAATGAGTTCTTCCTTCTCAATACCACACCACTAAAAATGATTTAGAACCTCATCCTGTGCTATTTTACACATATGGACCTTGTCAGGATAGGCATACCTGGGTGTACATCTTGACTTTCTTAAAGTACCCCAGTGACATCATCTGCCTTACTACAGGTGCTTTTTACTTCCTTCTGATCTCAGAGGCATGCTGTGACTAGGAGACAGCAAGACTCCTTCCTGTGGGGGTGAGTATGGATAGGGAGTGTAGTATGAAGGCAAACGCCTTTAGATTATCAGAGCCAGTGGGCACATCAGAGTGGAAAGGGAGGGAAAAAGCAATGAACAGACTGTTGAAGGAAACCTAGGTTTAAACATTTAGAAGGCTTAAAAGACTTCTGCCTTTTAAAGCTACAGAGCATGTGTATTTGTACTTGGGGGGGGGTAGCTAGATTGATATAGATTAAAAGAACTTTCCCTATCAGTCTAAAGCTGTAAACTTGTGCATGCTGATTTAGGTGTGCAAGAGTTAAGACCACATATATTCTGCACCAAAATTTGTTTTGTCAAGTCACTTGGGTATCATCTGCCCAGTGCTGTCTCCAAGTTTCAGATCCTTAGACAAGATGCCCCTCAATGGGCTCCCTCTTAAATTTATTTATTTTATTTATTATATTTATATTCCACCCTTTATTCTTTCAAAGAATGCAAGATGGATTACATCATTTTCCTCCTCCTCCTCCTCCTAACGATTTTATCCTCACAATAACAACCTTTGAGGTAGGTTAGTCTAAGAGTCTGTGACTGGCCCAGAGTCACCCAGTGAGCTCCGTGGCTGAGAGGG